TCGCCCAAAAGCCTGAAAAATAGTGGTCCTTCTGAGATCCCAACGTCTTAAGGCAAGAACCCGCTAGAATATTCTTTACTGATGAGTATACCTCTAGCGGATCCCGGTTGAAACGTTCCCCTCTCCTTTTCTCCACAACACAGTCATTTCAGCCACCGCCAAACTAGTTAGCAAGTGCTAACTTGTTCACCGCAGTTTTAGGAATATAGAAACGAGATTATTGATTTTTTAATAAAAAAACTTCATTTTATTGTAAATTCATTCGAATTACAAGTATGTATATCGTTTGTACAATTATCATTTAAATTATAGCGTTGATAGGATAATATATGTATGTTTTAAGGAAGTAAATAGACGTTCAACGTTGACCTGTGCACATGATAGAGAATTTTTATTTTTGTTTCAAAAATCAAATACAGTTACTTACGAAATTGAGCATACACTTTTTAAGACGCCACTTTTTTAAGACTACACGAAGTGACTTGAATTTTTTTTAGATGATAGAGGGACTAGTTTTCTAGACGATGACTACCGCTGTTTAACCTTTTTAGCTGAGCACATAACAAAAACTTATAAAATGCCTTTCGTAGATCGGTAATTTATATGCGTGCTGAAAATTTTATTGAAATCGGTTAACCTAAAGTCGAACGGCAGGCATTGAAAGATTTATAAATCTGCAGATTTCTTCTAGTTTTGGTCAGAATTGTGATAAAATTGCGATTTTTGCTTTCTTTAATTTGTTGTCTCTCATAACAACAGCGTGAACCGATTTGAATAAACTTTTTAGCGAACGTATATCTTACTAAGATCTACTTGAGGTATATATTTAAATTTCCGTTATAGGCTCATATAAAAAATTTTAAAAAACGAGAGTTTTTTATTCTTTTTATCTTTCCTAGTAATAGCCGAATTTAAGAAAAACATTTTCCTCATTGTCTAGTAGACTAGTCTCGCTATAATTAAAAAAAAATTGAAACCATTTAGTCCAGCTTTAAGCAAGTTATTGCGTTTTTAAAGGTGTATTCTCAATTTTATGAGTGACTATATATTCTCTTTCGTCTTTATTCGTCGAACATCAGAAAATGCTTTTAAACTATCTTTCAAATTCGCTACTGGAGCAAAAGATGTCATATTTCTTTTTCGTCGTTATATGTCTATCAACATTTTTGTAAATTCATTTGGATAAGTGTTGCTTATTTGTAGTTCTAAGCATGTTTACCCTAAATACTATGGTTACAGTTATAGAGTTTGCATACTGATGTATCATTTGACAGGTTGTATTGATAATATTTTCTTTTTTATTTAGGTTGTAACCCTTTACGGAATTATTGGAATTATCCATATGGTACGCATGAGATCTCATGCACATCAGAAAATTAAAACAGCAGTCACAGTTAAACTACTTATTATTTATTTTTGTTTTCTTCTCAAAGATGCCAACAAATTTAACCAACATCGCTCGGAATTGCTTCGAAGCTAAGAGGAATACGCGAGGTACGTTCACAGGAGGTAGACTGCTCAAGGAGGTCCTCGTCCGCGAGCAGATTGCACGCGAGCGCAGATATTCTCGGTTTCTCGCGATCGCGCGACCAAGTTCACGCGCAAACACGCTGCGAGCGGCATTATCGATCGTTTAAGAAGAACATTTAGCGTCGCGACAGCGCAGCGCCTGTGTGCACACAGTTGCAGTCGCGGTCGGGAACGGTTTTGAAGGATTTGCCGGTTCGCATGCGGCCGAATGGATGGTAGCAGAACAATGACACGTAAATCCCGCCTATGAGCGCCGTTTCGGTGGTCGGTACCCAACCAAAATTCCAATTCGAAAATTTTGCGCGAGCGTTCAATGGCTATGTATATGTTCATCATGAATTCACTAATTCTTCGCTAATTTGGGCGACCTCGGGGTCACGAACGACGGATCAGCTGGCTGTTTATCGAGACCTCCACATTCTCCGAAATTACTACATTCCTGACTTTATATGTCCTAATCTGGGATATGTGTCTCTAAACACGGTCTCCTTATCGGAGTTTCCTGTCCAACCAGATTAAAACTGTTCTATACCATTATTTGACCACAACTAAACACAGCAATCATGCATCATGATTTTGTTCACGAGGTACTTAATGGCTTTATTTTATTTATTTATTTGTGTATTGAAAATACGCCCGAAGTTAACCATTAGTTATAATATTGCAAAAACAAAACATACAGACGTTTAGAAAATTATTTTGTTCAAGTTGGTCACCAGCGTCTACTAGATCAGAAATACGATTACAATTCTGCTTTCGAACTGATTTCTACACCTAACAATTCAATGGCTATCTGATTCAGGTGTGCATGTCCAGCCAACGGAAGATCTGGCTTGAAATTAACATATTGCAAACTGCTAATATCGGTAAGCTTTGAAATGTACTAAACTTTTAGTGTCACGAACAATGTATTATGTACCTACAAGGAGCACTACAAATTCTAATTCTTGTTCGCGCTGCTAATTCTAACTAGGAAGTCGATCGTAAACTTGTCGATAGCGATTCGTTGGCAAAATTATGGCCTCCCGATAAAAGCAGGTATTTATTACCGTGTGCACGTTGCAATTTCCATAGTATTATAATAAATTCTAGATAAAATATGTCGTTCCCGTTTGCATGGAGAACGAGAACTATAAAAATCCGAATTGCGTGAGTTAAGGCACTAAATACCAAGTTGAAGCAGTAAGAAGCGATTTGAAATGTTCAAAATGTTTAAATTCCTTGTCGCGATGACGATGTTGGCCGTGGTAATTGCCGAGTGTAAGCATCGTTCGGTTTAACACTAAACTTATCGTGATGAGACTATAACGATGAGAAGATTATATTTATTTAGACCTCTTGGCACTTTTATTGTAATGTATGCTTGTATGGTAACATTTATTCAATCGTTTTCTGTAAAAGAATCTTTACAATTCCAGCCACATTAAAAGGAAACATCTGAAAGCGGTCACTTTGACCGGCTCGGTAGGGTTTAGCGTTAAGACGATCTTTCAGGATTGATTTCCTGCAAAATTTAATGTTCTTGATTGTTTAAGCTTTTGCCGACTCACTAGTGGAGTGTCCTGATAACGAACACTGGTCGCTATGCGGAACTATGTGCGAGCCAAGTTGCGAACAGCCGAAACCGAATCCTTTCTTCTGCCCCAGAATCGTGAGTGTCTAAATTATTTTACAGTAGATAATATTCCTTGGAACTAAAATTTTTCTTTGAGATTAGTCATTCAAACCACTAGACAGCCCAGGGTCTTTCTTCAATTAAATAATCACATTCGTGATGTTTCAGGTGTGCGCGCGAGATACTGCCGGCTGCAGGTGTAAAAATGGCTACGTGAGGAACGAAGATAATAAAGACTGCGTTGCACTAAAGGAGTGTCCTCACAAATCACAATCTAAAGCGATCTAAAACGATCTTTGAGAGACACCAACACCCGTGATCATCGACCGTTTCGAAAACCCCGTCCCACTTTCCCGTTCCGAAGGCCGATTATGGGAAGTGACTCGAAAGTCACTCTCTCTTCTCTTCTCTCTCTCTCTCTCTTTCTCTCTCAACTTGAAATCTTATACACGTGTTTCCGACACCGCCGCGCAGTGGGGAAAATGACCAAGTTGTGTGAAGATCATGGAACTTTTGACAGAACTGAGATAGAGAGATGATTCTTTTCTTTTTTTGAATTAAACTTGAAATGTTCTAGAATAAGAGATAATTATAGAGAATGTCGCACGAACGACTTTCGACATTATAAATTTATGTCAATTTGATATTTTACGATAAATATTGTGGTTTTATCCATTATGACATGTGATTATGTTTGAGTGATTTTAAAACATAGACTTTTCGTATCATTGAATCCAGGATGGATACTGTTCCATTATTAATTCTGAACATGCAAAACTCATATCAGTATAGCGAAATTCATTTTCAATCGAGGATTCAGCTATAATAGCAATCGCACTATAAAAAGAAAATTATGTTAACAGAAGGCGAAAATGGAGCTCGACCCAATGTGGGGAACCGTATTTATCCATCCACTTTAGCACTGTGTTTCCAAATATAGGACAAATAATATATAAAAAGTAATAATAAAAAAAGAGAAATGAAATAATAATCGTGCGTTGTGTTGAAGGTAACACCTAGAATGTGATGCGAGGCTTGCAACAGTCATGTTGGCTTATGAGTGAAGTCAGTTTTTGGGATGCACTCAGTCAATGGGATCTGCATGTGTACGTTAATAAATAATTCGAAATAATGATAAATCATTATCGGCTTGTGTTCGACCCGCCGGTCAGTATAAACGTGAGTATAAACACAGTTAGCTGTGGCGCCTTCTTTTCAGAGAGCGCACACCTATATGTGTCGCGAAGATGAAGCGATGACGAGTATACACATCAAACACGGTAAGTGTCGCTGTTAAAGTATTGGATCAAAAAGACGGTTTTATTTTATAAAATTAACAGTTTTATTACTAATATTTACTTGTTCACTTAACATTAACATATATGTACTACGTAGAAAAAAATCAAATACTTATAAAAGTAAAAAATTCAAATTCATCCAAAGAACGATACGTAATGGCACTTTACACCAATATCGTCATTCTTTCCTAATCTTATTTTTATAGCAATGTATACACCTTCGTGTAGGATTGTTTGTTGATGAAATGCCTGGTATACATACAGGGTGTCACAAAAATATCTCGCATTACGAAAATGTGGGGTAGCTGAGATCATTCTAAGTAACTTTTCCCTTTGCAAAAATGCAATCTGCGGCTTTGTTTACGAGTTAATCGACGGCGCGAAGTTCGTGACGGCGCGAAGTTCGAGAGTCCGCAGCACGAAACTTTGACAGAAGGTCGAAACGGACTCGAGCCGCGTTCCAAGTATTGAACAAGTCGCGAAGCGTAAATTTTCCGGATTTTTTTTTATTACATAAAAGTGATATTTTTCAGAAAAACGCTATTCACCTCTACTTTAGAACATTTAAAGAATATTTACTAATTTTTCGGACCCGAAATAATATGTAGTTTAACCGTGACAGCCGTTTTAATTTTCTGGTTTGCATGACACCACGTGTGTACCATATGAAATTTTTATGCAAGGTGTACAGTGAAGATTAACAAAGTTCGTAAATGATATTTTAATTTAAATAATTCCGTGTCCGAACAGAATTCAACGAATGATTCGCAAAGTTAATTTGTTTATTAATTAAGTTAATTTGTTCGTTAGATAAATATGAAGAATATTATCAATAAGAAAATCACCCATTTAGTTGAGGATGCATTTCCTGACTCGTACGCACTGACCTCGTACAACGTACATCTGATCCCAGGTCGTTGACCGCAAAATTTGAGGGATACTGTCCGAGGAACCTCTGGTATGGTTATTTACGAAGTTCACTTACACTGCACTGTCACCAAACATTGATCACTTAATTAATCACTGATAATCCGAATCATTTGTGGATATTACGAAAGATCACTGAGACTCGTTCGCGGGTAATCGTTTATTCGACGCGTTTGATTGTGTAGGGACCGAATTGTAAGCTGTCAGATCTATAATAGAATCGAATTCGTCGTTCTTCGAGCCTTGCGACTCACCTTCGTAGTGCCGTCACCGCGGGAGAGAGAGAGAGAGAGAGAGAGAGAGAGAGAGAGAGAGAGAGGAGGAACAAAATTCGAGTCGAACGATACTACCTGGAGAGGCAGCGGCTAGCATGCCGGTGTACATTACAACGCAATGCTACAATAAAAACGATGACATAACTTTTTTATTTCTAATTTTTTAAAATTAAACATTTTTTAATTTATTGGTCAGATTTTTTCAATTAAAATGATACCAAATACGACATGTTTTAGACCATATTTATTCATTGTACGTAGCAAGTAACTTATTTTATTTGCGAAAAAAGCATTAGAAAATCCGATTCTTAACATATGAAATATTAAAAGCAACGTTAAAGAAGGTATGTACATGTGTCGTTCGAAAGAAAATTACCATACAATTCGAGCCTACGTTCGACGATGAGAACAGAATGCTATGGCTAAGACATGACGGCGAGGGAGAGTCCATGTCTAAGAGATGATAGCAAGGAAGATTACGTGGCTAAAAGATGATGGTAGGACAAGCCTACTTGCAGAAGGTGTGAAGGAACGGCTTTCTGTACTTTTACCATCAACCCTAGAATTTTAAAAAGTCATACATCGAGGATGAACGATACTGTTTAAATACGAGGTTTTCGAAACTTAGCGCCGATGGCGCAACGGATGGGTTGCAGATCTGGCGACGAAGACAAGGGCTGGAATCGAAGCCACGTTATCCTATGAGAACAAGAGTCAACTCGCCATTCTTGTTCGAATCATTTTTACGACGGTACGACGGCAACATTCATAAAGCAATAGCTATATACAAAACAGGTCAAGAATCAAAAGAGTCGCACATGACCATCCGCGGTTCGCCAACGTGACCCTCGCGGGAAGACCCAGGAATCGGTCATTTTACCAAAACGAGAAATGCTAATCGTTGACTGGTACGCACTTCGGCTACCAAATCAGTATAAAATGCGACTGAAAAAAGAAACGTACGAATTTGACCATCAACGGTCGTTGCAACACGTACATTTGTAGTTCCACGGCTTCATTGATCTGACACACACCAAAACAGATCATTTTGAGTTATTGTAATTTATTATCAATGCTATTACTTTTTAATGTCAAGTGTTATTATTGGTGATATTAATAATTAGTGATATACAAATTGTGGTTATTAATATCGTAATTACATACACATATACATATACTAAGTACATATACATATCTTTACTATTAAAAAATATTATGGGACCAAGAAAAACAAATTGTGTTATTAAACATGCAACAAAACAACTTAATGTAGAATATAATTTTTTACTTAACTAATTATGCGTAATATCAATGCAACTTTTTAATGTACAGTTATTATTAACCCTTAGCGTTCCGAAGGCTCCGCTACGGAAACATTTGTCATTTGTTCCTTAACTCCGAAGGCTCCGCTGCGCAGCCAAATGTTTTTAGCATACGTTATCGTCGGCGTTAGCAATTGCTATCTGTAGTTAAAACGTGCTAAGTCTGTACTATTACGATTAAACCATTTTTTGACCTGTTCTATGGTTATGATAATAAATATTATAATGAGAGTTTAGAGCTGAGTGATACTGAAGACGTATTTGATTTTGAAGAGTTAAAAGACATTGTGGAAGACAATGTTGGCTATGATTCTGACATTTCAAGTAGTAGTAGCGAAATTATACTACCAAAGCGACGAAGAATGAGAATGATTGAAAGTGAAAGCGAAAATTCGTTACAGGACTTAGATGAATGCCGTGATGTTACGGAAGTATTACATATTCCAGATAGAATACCTTTTAATGTATTGCCACAGGTCATTGAACCACAAGTTTCTACAAACATTGAACAGCCGATACAATATTTTAAATTATTTTTCACGGACGAATTGGTAAATGAAATTATAAAGGAAACCAAAAATTACGCAGAAAATGTTCTAAACTTGAAAGAAATATCTAGTAACTCAATTTGGCAGAGTGATACTGTGACACTTGTCCAAGTAAACCCAGAATGCACATGGAAGATTGTTACCAAAGATATCACACCATGGTGAATTACAAAATTTAAAATTTATCTTTTATTTATAATAGGGAAATGTATATTTATAAAATAAATAAAACCGAATCCATTCAGAAGGACGTGTAATCTTTGCCGCTCAAAATAAGACTTTCTTTATCTCAGGCGCTCAGCTCCAAAAATGTGTGTGTGTGTGTGCCACAGTTGCATTCTAAAATAAGGGTGTGCAGCGTTTTTCTTGAAAATATCACTGTCACATAGTACAAAAATTCCGTCGCGCCCTTCTGCTAAAGCTACGTGCAACTCGCCCACGCAGTTCGCGCGCTTGTTTCCTGAGATTTTCTAATACTTTATCTTTATTTGTTATATCCATGCTTTTCTCAAGTATATTTGTGCTCCATACTGTGTTACTGAGACTACCATAGCTCTGTAGTTTTTAATGGCCCGTAGTGGGTCAATCCCTCTGTTGCCCTCACATTGGTATTTCACTGCAACAGTTCTTTTTTTGATCCTTGTAGTTGATCTTTGCCTATGCTTTTTGAATGATAGTAGACTGCCCTGTTGCAGTGAGATATTGAAAGCCCTTGGCAATTACTTGTATCGGATGACATATAACCCGGAACTGAGATCATTACGTTTGTTACAGTGACTCTCAAAACTGTTGCAATGAGTTGGTTGCGTGGGTTTAACAGAGAACATTTGAGAAGTAGGGCACTCTCAACTATAACTGTTGTTTTATTGAAAGGAGGGTTTCAATGTTTACAAAGCGTCCTCAGTGCGAATTAGGGTTGATTTGAGGTAAAACTATTTCAGTTAACTTTCCTATCCGCCAATCGCAACAATGTTGCACTCTGTTATTCTTCTTGCTATAGTTTGAAAATTTCCACCCGATACTCAAATTAAAACGTTTTCGCATGTTAAAATTCATTTTTTTGAAGCAATACTTGTCAGTGCAACAAATAGGTAAAAACAATTGAAACCAGCTACTCCAATGTAAGTCGAATTCGGTAAGAAGCTCTCCCAGCGCTTTTGGAAAGTTTTTATGACTAGGTTGACACAGCATTGTTAAAAAAACTCGCACTTTTATAATCTAAAAAATTCTACGATTTTTAATATTTGTAGTGAAAAGTTAGAATGTCAACCATTAACCATTAGAATTGTGCAGAATTAGAATTAAATTACTCAAGAAATTATAATTACAAATAATAATTCAATTAGATCCTAATTTGTGTGGATCGTTGTTTAATTAAATTACAATGTAATTTGTAACTCAATAGGAGTATAATTACTAATACTAATTACGAATACCAAGTAATTGAATAATATTAATTACGAATTACACTCTAATTTAATTACATAATATTATTATTATTAATAATATATTGTTATATATTATTGTTATGAGCCGAGGACTAAGGCACTCTTGGGGTGACTGAGGATTCGTTTGGTTGAGAGAGCGAAAGAGTTGGTTAGTTGTGGACGAGTTGTTGTTTGTTTCTGTTCGGAGATCCACTGAACAGGTATTTGTAGACGAGCCTACGTTTGTGTCACAGTCGGGACCTGCAAGGGGGTAGGTTCTCGTATACGAGACGACACAAAAGATACCGTTCAATCGTCATTAGTGTTACCATTAACTCGATTTTTTTGAAAAAGTGACTTATACCACTTTCAAAATATACGGCTCATTTATTTCACCACCGTGCCGGGACCCACGAAAGGAGGAAGGTATAGAGAATTGTTAGTTTAACCTCGTAACTTATTAATGATGGTACACTTCAAGTTGAGAAAGTGCACCATGATGGACTTTGGACTAACGGTTGGAAACGATAAGAGAATGTGAATTGAAAAAATTGAATTAAGTCAATATACTTTGCCCCAAGTATAGTATATTACACATGTATTATGTTACAAATGTTAAATGTGAAGTGTTTTCGCGGAGCCTAAGTTTCATGCTCTCGGTTGTAATGCACTGCGAAATGCGGGGAAGGTCATAATTAACGGCCTGAGCGAGATTCTACCCGGTACACATGCGGGTGCAGATTTTAGCCCTTTGAACTCGAGCGGCTGTTACGGCGCCTGGGAGGTTTGACGCGTCCAGTCGAAGTGCGCTGTAATAGAACTCGATCTGTTTATTTATGATGTGCGATAAGACATTTTTATCTGAAGTACTTTCATGGACCAGGCTCGGCTTGCGTTCTTAGCCAAATCTTAGCTTTGTTTAATTAGTCTCAGCATATCATTTCTTTGAAAACAGTCTTGGCAGTGAGTATAGCAGTTGAAAAATTTTCGAGCCCTAAAAATATGGATTGAGATCAGACCAGCTCAAGTTCAGACGAATTCGATTGTGCGATTTTGAACGAAGAAATTACATTGATTTCCGACGGATTACGTCCGGACGAAAAATTAGAATCATAGATAGCGAAAGTGAAACCGAAAGTGAAACTGCGAAAAATGCAAGCACTTCAGAATTGGTACTTTGCAGAGAGTATCAAGAAGTGCCGCCAAGTGT